GCTTGGTGACCCATGTCGTCCCGTACTGTTGGAATGTTTCTTGCTCGTCTCCGAACTCTAGTTTCTCCTCCTGAGCCAAGCGCAGACTGGACCCAACCACCAACTACAGCACCACGCACAGTTCTCCCGCCTTTTCTTTTTACCCAGCACAGTCGGCGGCAGCGATTGAATCGGTTAGCAGGTCTGCTGGGCGAACACCCGTCGACCCGCTTGATGCGCACGACGATCATCCCGGCATCTTTGTTGTTTGGTTGGTCGGCACCAGTGTCTAGGTTCGCGCGCGTTGAGTCTTGAACCCGCGCGGCAGACGACGATCTACGCACCTTGTGCGATTGTGCTGAAAGTGAAAGGCCTTTCCGACGCCGGTCCAGACCGCACTCCGCCCTCGAGGCCTCGCCTTGTCCAAACAGGAACCGTCCGGGGACAACCAATCCGTCGAGGGTGACTTGATTTGCCTTGTAAGAATCGCTGGCTAGGGAGTCAAGGGGGGAGCACGAACTGAAGGCGCAGCTGTCCACCTTCCCACCATGGTCCTTCCAATGCACCGTGAACTTCTGCCCAGGGAACAGCCCTGCGTGAGTTGAGCGTAGCAGAGATCGTGCGACGCACCTGTCCAGAATCCCCCGCAATCCAGCACGACACTTTTGAGTTGACTATATCCGTGGCTTCCAGGAACTGGTGTGCCGGCTCTCCGTCCACCTCGATCCAGGCAGAAAACCCACGCAGCGTGAGGGCATTCTCAGTAATAAATGAGTTCGATGGATGGCCTGGACGAAATATGAGATAAGAAGCCAAGGAACGGTCCAGGGGCGGAAGAAGTGAAAGGTTAACACGAGGCTCAAGGGTAAATTCTGTAGGTCCTTGTTACAACAATGTTCAAGGCACGTGACTTGCGCGTGATGTCGCCTCTAATCTTTGGCCTCCGCCAACTCGCACGCACCGTGCACTGGCCCAGAGGGACGATGCCACCAAGACGCGCAGCGACCAGCAGCAGTAGCAGAAGCAAAAGGAAGGCGGAAGAATCGGCTGACTCGGCTGACGAATCGCTCAAAACGTCGAAGAAAGCAAGGGTAGCCGAAGCCGTTCCGTCTGCCTCGGCCGGAAGCTCTCAGCCGACGAACAAAGTAGTGCCTGACACCATCGTCTTCCCAGGTATGTGAGCGTGGCAGGGTGGGACATCTCATGAACCACGCGTACGGTGATGGCAGAACGCATCCCGGCACTCTTAGACTGGCGACATGGAACGTATGTGGACTGGCAGCGAGTCGGAAGAAGGGGTTCCAGAGATACATCGACGCGGAGGACCCGGATGTCTTGGTGCTCACGGAGACGAAGGTGCGGCGGCCCCTGCTCGCAGCGCGCGCTGGGCATTGTGTGACATCCGACAGGTCAATGACGAACCGAGCATGGATCTAGCGCTCAAAGCGCGTTTCCCTTATTGGCATTGGTCTATCTCTGCCAAGAAAACCTACTGTGAGCCATTGCAGACGCGTGCGACGCGTTTTAATCCCCTTCATGCTACATAGCTGGGACCGCGATTTTGTCCAAGCACAAGCCTCTGAGCGTGACTTCCACGCTGCCGGGGCACCCCGACCCCACCCTTGTCAAGGGAAGGATCGTGACGATGGAGTTTGAGAACTGTTTCGTGGTCGGCACGTATACGGTGAACGCAGGTTCTGATTTGAAGGCGCGTGTGTCCCGCTAAGGATTGGTCGGTTCTCTCCAAGCTTACGATGGAAACCCCAGACCTTGGACCAGAAGAAAGAGTGGAATACTCATTTTGAGACCTACGTGCGGGATCTCGACAAGCGGAAGCCTGTCATCTGGACGGGAGACCTGAACGTTGCTCCGACAGAACTAGGCATGTACTTCAGAATGCGCTTCCGTCTATGTACTGGACTTTCCGGATGACATCTTACGCAGATCTCACGAATGCTAAATCCAACTGGAACAAGACAGCTGGGTATACGGAAGCGGAGACGACTGCGTTCAAACGATTCATTGAACCGCCCGAAGACGTCGCAGATGCTGCCACGTTCGTCGATGTGTGGAGGCAGTTGCACCCCACGGAAAGACAGTACACATACTTCTCGTATCGGTTCAACTGCCGACTCAAAGGGATCGGATGGAGGCTGGACATGTGTGAGTGGGTTCCACCCAAGTTTCGGCACCGAGCCCATGCATGGTCTTCCCCCAGTTGTCTTGAGCGAGCGCATCGCAAGTAAGGTCAAGATGGTATGGTATCGCATTTATCCTTAACGAGCCATGGCCTGATGTCTACTGGCAGTGTGAAATCCGAGGCGAAATCTACGGGGCTTCCGACCACTGTCCGCTCGTCATGGAGATCGAAGGCGCGCTGTGAAGAGCTTATGCGGACAACTCAGGCTTGGTATTCACCGAAACGAGTGTGACCTGTTTCCGATGCATGGGCTTGAGCGCCTTTCTCGCCTTTGAGGCCTTTGTCACAGATCTAAGCGTAGAAATATTGGTCGGCTCGTTTGGTATTCCATGTGGCACTCACCAGACACTTGAGATCAAACGTTGCTGTGTTCGTGTACTTGTGTTTGTCTTTCAGAATCTTGGCGAGCTTTTTGGCTGCATCCATGATGTCCGCATTTCGCTGCGGCGATAATTTAATCGAGAAGGAATGCTGCGGCAGCAAAGCTTGCGACGTACTGCTGGGAACACTGTCTGGTGCCAGTCGCTCGGCGCATCGACCATCGGCGCCAGACTTGCGGCGTCGTAATGGATTCCGGAGTAGATCACCAGACACCGGTTCTCGGGATGCTCGTTCCCGCTGGGTGTAAAGTGGTCGATCCGACCCGTCTCGACGTCGATGCTCGCGATCTCAGTTCCGTAATGCGACGCCAGGATGGCCAGTTCGATGGCGCCGCCCCACGTGTTGGGCTGCAGGATCTTGGCGATGTACCGGTCGGGCGGCATTCTGGGCCATGTGTCTCAGCGATGAGAGACATTGCGGGAACCTGGCGCACCCAAGAATAGCCTCGCTGTAGGTCATGGGGTCGTTCCGGATGCCGTTGGCGACCACTGGGCTGTGTGTCAGGGATGCGTGGACGCATGGCGGCGGCGGTTGAGCGCACCCTCGCGCAGCTTGGGCGCCTTCTTGATGTCCTGCTCGAAGACGAGCGCGACGGAAGAGAAGAGACACGAGTTGTCGTCGGGGACCACCCGATGCACCAGGTACGACCCGTCGGTCTCGACAGCATCAGGAGCGTCGGATGCGGCTGCCTTGGGTGCCGATGGTCGGCGCACAGCAGGTGGTGGAGGGACAGCCGAAGATGGGTTCGTAGTGGTCGGGTTCAAGAACGGAGAAGTTGTAGGACGGGAAGGCACAGAAGCCGGGCCAGAACCAGCATCTTCGCTGACAATGAGTTGCTCGCCAGAGGCGAGACCCAGACTGGTCACAGGAAGCTCGGGTATGAGTGTCAATGTTCTCGGAGGATACCCGCCCTTGACTGAGACGAGGGCGTGAGGGGGCGCCGAGATCAAGCAGGAACAAGTGTACCTAGTTGCCTGCTGGGGAGAATGTCGGACACTTTCAATATTTCTTGTTGCAGATCTGTAGATCGGGCCAGAGCGCGGGTGTTAGGGGGACTGCAGGGATTTGGATCGGAGACTTGAGACCTGCCTTGAACCGTGAAATCATCTCGATCGAGAGGAACCTGGATGGTAGATACTCCCTTGGGATGTCGAACTCGTAGAGGTGCCATCTAAGAGAATGACGATAGCACACAGTCAATGTACAGATGACGAGACGAAGATGCGCGACGCTTGTCGGGACTTACCATATGGAGTAATCTCATACTGATTGGTCCACGTGATCTTGATGAAGTCTTGAATGCACGGATCTAGCTTGGCTCGAAAGCACTGGTGGTAAAGGAATTACGTGTGGAGAGAGCAGATCTAGGGAACTGGTTGGCGAGTCCGAGGCGCCCATTGAGGATCCGTAGTGGACTGCCATCCCTGAATATGCAGGGTCAACACATGGTAGAGCCTTCCTGAGATCGCAATAAATTTCTATGAGCAGTCTCTTGGTTTTTGCATCTGCACGAACCAGACACTCGAGCGCTTGGCAAGTGCTCTCGACTTCATATGATGGCATCAACAGTGAGAAACACATGCCATCAATATCTGCGGCAATCAGGATCTCCTTAAATGAATGACGTCATGCGGCCCAGGATGTGCTCATGGCCGTTATGGAAGTTGCCCTCTTTGGTTTCTGGAGGAGTCGGGTGATATCCCCAGCGGATGGTGACGCGGGTTGACGTCAAGTATGAGGGCATCGTAAGCATTCCAAACCGTATATAAGGTTGAAGGCTTGCAAAATCAATCTTCACTCACCTCTCATCCAAACCACTCATCCAACCAAACCAGTCAGTGGCTTTCGAGAAAGTCTCTCGGTCTCCTGACGCGCCTTCACAGATTTCAACTCAATATGTCTGACACTGGACGTCAATCTTTCACCGACAAGGCCGGCGCCGCCCTGAAGGTTCGTTGAGCCTGCGCCTGGTCCGATTCCACAGCGCCTAACTTCATTCCTCAGCCCGACAGCCAGAAGTCGACGACCGAGCAACTCGGAGACCACCTTAAGGGCACCGGAGACTCTCTCGGGTCGACACTCCAGCCCCAGTCGGAGAAGAGCACCGCGCAGAAGGCCGGTGATGCGCTCTCTGGCAACCAGAACAACAACAACGAGTCGCTCATGAACAAGGCAAAGAACGCGATGGGTCTCGGCGAGAAGTAGATCTCAAGATTTATCTCATCTGGGCAAACTGTAACAATGTACTCTATTCGTGATCCACAATGAATATCTGTATCATCTTGACTATTGCGTGGACCACTCCTGCAACACCTCCACATGCGCCCAGTGCCTTCCTCGATGAGTCCACCATATTAGGCAAGTATGACTCTGCGCTCTCCGGATATATCATGACATACGCGAGATGCGATTCCACCCCGAATAGGTCGAGCAATCGCTGCCGCTCAGGTGTTCTAGCGCCGCCCTTGATCATCAAGTCTTCAGATTTTTGGCGTCGAGTGCATCCGGATCTATCTCTGCCTCAATGATCTTTTCCAAAAGTTGTCCCGTAGTAGCATGCTGAGACAAATGTTCTCGGATGTTGAAGATCGTGTCTCCTCGAGCCCATATTGCAGATTACAGGGGCGACGAGTCCACCTCTTTTCATCACCTCCAGGAGAAACCCTCGCTCGTTGAATATATGAATGACGCTGAGATAAGCATTCAGTTCGCGACCTGTGAAGAGGAGCCCTCGAATCAATCGTTTCTGGCCCCCGCGAAACAAAGCTGGGCCAAAGCGATGCCAAGGCAATAGCGCCAGTATCACATACTGGGTTCCAGTCGGAAGCAGCCATGTCTAATACAAATTATTTTGGACGATCAGGGGACAACATGGCCCGTTCCACCACAAGATCGAAGGAACCGAGATCCGGGTTCAGGCCCGGAGCCCGGGTGCATGTTCATGGCATTCTCCGTCGTGAGCGTTCATAGTTTGGAAGATGCGAGTTGTTGGGCGTTAGCCCGAGCGTGTCAACCGTCAGTTCGAGCATTCCAGAGTCACCCGCGCTTCGGGAACAGACGATCCAGATGGGAGATGTCCCCTCATGACGCGACTGTCGCCGATAGAGAGGGAGTCATGCTGATCTGTCCGTGCCTCGCGCCGGTTGCCCTGTGACCTGGATGATGATGGCATTGAATACAACTTGGTACATACTTGGTTTTACACAGAGGTCCGTAGGATCTTGTCCGAGAATCAACAAGCGAAATATGTATATCGGGAACTCGAGACGTTTCAAGGTGTTCAACGGAGCGAGAGTCGGGCTGATTGACTTCCGGTGTCGAAAATCACAAAGGCTAGGCATCCGTCTGTTGCAGCGTTCATGAAAAGTCACTAAAATATGCGCTTGCCTCCTTACCGAATTTCTGGGCGAGTCCTCGAAGGGATCCGCACTCGTCATGACATGGTGGTAGTTCGGGGTTCCAGCGCGCAGGGCGGCCTTGTATACAGCGGAAGGAGCCATGCGTGATCGTTTCCGCCGTCGATAGACAACCCAGAAAACGACACCAGTCACCAGTACGAACAGCATAGCACCAATGACCCCGCCTGCGATGGCTCCAGCATTGATGCCGGACGGGACAGATGCCCCCTTGTGCGGAGTCAGATTGGTCGGCGAGGATGATGCTTCAGTTGAGGACATGGCCGAGAAAGTGGATGAGGCGGATGAGGCTAAACTTGACGTGGATGACATGCCCGGAGCAGATGGTAGAGTTCCTGATGTTGGAATACAAAAACTGGCCAGGTTTTGGGCTGCTTGAATGTTAAAAGTGGTAGGCTAGCATCAAACGTTGAATGATCCGAAAATGCAAGAGACCTAGGCGCTGCTTACGAAAGGCGTCGCCGCAGCCATAGCCAATGCCCACGATGGAACAACGTTGGATTGAGCTTTGAATATTTCCACTCAGCTACGCACTGACGTGCAGGAGGAGGCTCACATGCGGATGGAAGGTCGGTGCGAATGCTAAGGACTCATTCGATTGGCCGAGCAAAAGCATTATTCAAACGCTCACGGTGAAGGTGTTGAAGGATCGCAATGGTATTCCAGTGCATATTCCTGCCAACTGAGCGGAAACTTGTGTGATAACTCCATTGAACAAGTCTGACATGGGACGCACGTTAAAGGTGGGGATTCGGGATTCATGCAGTAGTCGCAAGCGTCCCGGAGAAAGAAGACCAGATTGCTGCAGGCATAAGAGTGATCGAGGCCGCAAAACTTCACGGCACAGGGCTCATTGGAGTCGCTGTTGGCTGCCTGCACACACGTAAGGATTGCGATTGTGGCAAGTTGTAAGTCTGACCCATCCGCAATTATCCGTGGGTGCTCTGTTGAGCTGCCGTGCGACCACGGCTCGCAACTGCAACTGGATGATTAATCACTGAGCGAGAAGTTTGAGCTGCTGCTGTACCGCTTTTGAATCCATTATGAGGGAGGGTGGCAAGTGGAAAATCTTGCGAGGCAGCTGAAGGTTTAGCTGGATGTGCTGGCGGGGAAAGCTAGAAGGACGTACATACAGGCATCCCGAACAGCCTCTGACGAGATGGTTTCAAAAGCATCACTGTCGTAAATCTGTTGATGTTGCGGATGTGTTCGAAGATGGCCCGATACGAGGCCGGAAGTGTCGACCTTTAATGAACAACATCGGGGTCCAATGGACCGGACTGGAAGCGAGGTTGTTACATGATCATCCAGACCGACCCCGGCTAATTGCCATGAGCTCAGTCGTGTGCGAACCCAATCAATGACCTGTCAGGCGACTGTCAAACGGGATATGATAATGACAGAGAAGCAGTGCTGCAGATCAGCCACGTGACTCATAGCACAGGAGTCATCACGTGCCTTCTTTTCAAGCTCAGCAACTATCCAGCACACACGTGCCGGCCGCTCCCAACTTTCTTCAAGACGAACAACAAGATGTCGGCGCCCTCGACGACCGTCCCCTCCGCCTCGGTCAGTCTCCTACGCCATTCAATGAAGCCCTAACACCGACCCGTGTACTGTAGACCATCGAGGTTCCGGAAACTCTCCTCAAGAAGCGCAAGCAAAATGAAAAGGCCCGTGAGGAGCGCCTCACCGCTGCCGCTGCCGCCCGCAAGGTGAGCTTTGTTCTCTTATCTCCCTTTGAATTCCATTTCTTCAAAGTGTATGATGTATACGTTCATTCGATGATCGGCTAGCCAACGCAATGCTGCCTTTCAGTTAACCATCTTTCGGGACTGACTCTTCGCATCTTGTATCCTGCTTCCAATTCAGAGCTAATGTACAATCTTGCAGGCATCGAAGGCCAAGCGCAAGGTCATCTTCAAGCGTGCCGAGTCGTATGTGAAGGAGTACCTGTCGAAGGAGAAGGAGGAGATCCGTCTGAAGCGTGCTGCCCGAACTGCCGGAGACTTCTACGTGCCCGCCCAACCGAAGGTCTACTTCGTGATCCGTATCCGTGGGTGAGTCTACGCCTTTTTGTAACTGGCCATGTCTGGACCTCCGGTAGTATCAACGAGATCGCCCCGAAACCCCGCAAAATTTTGCAACTCCTCCGTCTCCTCCAGATCAACAACGGCGTGTTCGTGAAGGTCACCAAGGCGACCCAGCAGATGCTCCGTCTCGTCGAGCCCTACATCACATACGGGTGCGTCTCCAAGTAGTCCATATCGCCATCTTTTTTGACCATCTATGCAGCGAGGCCAACATCAAATCCGTGCGGGAGCTGATCTACAAGCGTGGATACGGCAAGGTCGACAAGCAGCGCATCCCTCTCTCCAACAATGCTGTCATTGAGGAGGCTCTCGGCAAGTACAACATCCTCTGCATGGAGGATCTTGTCCACGAGATCGCCACCGTCGGCCCCAACTTCAAACAGGTGTGCATCTTTGAATTCTGTCCGTCGTTCTTGTCGCTGACATTTTCCAGGCTGCCAACTTCCTGTGGCCGTTCAAGCTGTCCAACCCTAACGGTGGCTGGCGGACACGCAAGTTCAAGCACTTTGTGCAGGGTGGAGACTTTGGTGACCGGGAGACCAACATCAACAAGCTGATCAGGCAGATGAACTAGATGTTGATTTGTCTCTGTCGCTGTTGGATATGCTTGAGGGGGAGGGGACGTCGACGAAAACATTCCATGTTTAGCTGTAAACTTTTCATGCCTACTATGCCCATTATGAAAAAGTTGCATCGAACGCCAATCCAACACTATTATCATTATTATTCGTTTATCAGCACAGTAGTTGACGAGTTGTGTCTTAGTTTGTGAGCAGTTTAGAGTCCACGACCTCCTTGGTGAGGCCTTCTGGCCCGTCCCGAATCTCTATGACTTTGCTTACATCCACCTGAACGAGGATCGATGAGGCGTTCGTGGGGTAGGAATGAGTACTCACGGTGGCCTGGAAATCCAGCAGGGCACTGGCGTGGAGCGTAAGCATCCCTGTCTCCGATGAAGTGGGCGCCCAGTTTAGCAGGACGAGCGGGAACGATTTCCGGCCATCGGGGTGGTCCAACTGATAGCTGTAGCGCGACACGCGTCAGACGGGCACTGCTCTATGTGCATGCAGCTCTGATTGAACTGCTCACCTGAGAACAACGTATCGCGGCGAGTTCTCAGGGAGCTCTGCGCCGTTGTTAGCGTGGATTCCGAGGCCGCAGTCCATGTGCGCACGCACCCTCGGCCAGCTCCTCGATACTGATGTTGTCGAACTGCTCCACCTCCTCCATGACGAGCTTCGCCTTGTTGATCTTGATGACGAGGGCCGCGCTCCCTTCGCTGCGGCGGGCGAAGCGGAATTTGCGGAGGGAGGCGCGGATGTCCTGCGGGATGTCGACGGTGTGGGACTAGGTTCTGTGTCGACACTTCCCAGCGACTGTAGTATCCGATGGACGAACCATGATGGAAGTCGGAAGCAAGAGATCGATGATGCCTCTTTGTGCTATCTTGGGACCTCAGCGCCGATTGCGGTAGGATATCAAGAGAAAAATGTTCTCTGCCTAATAGTAGCATATGAATAAACTAGATATTTTTACTGCTGAGCACAAGCAAGTACCGCAGTGGATCGAAGTGCGGACTGACTGGGATGCTCAAGTCGAATGCTCGGTACCATTTCACGATCTAATCTTATCTGTCGCCCGACACAACAGAATTACATCATGATTTTCACGATTGATCATCCACGAGGTCGGCAAACTTCGCCGGGGCGGTTGTCGACATGTACATGTACGTAGATAAACTGTGCCGGGGGGTCGTGTCTTCCCCTCATGTACTCCCACTCGCGCTCCCGGTCGAGGACCGTCTCCCCCTCCCGCCACCAGGCCACGCAATCGGTGTCCTACGTCGCGTCTGGGCTCCCAGACGGGCTCGTCGACGACGAGACTGTCGAGCTGCTGCAGGAACTAGTTCACCCCCACGGACACGACCAGGACGCGACTCTGGTCGACGATAGCGGCAGTGTCGATGCACTTCCCGTGGACCCTCGACCCTGGTGGAAGCGGCCATCTCCGTGGTGGTGTGTCCCCATCGGCGCTCGCTCCGATAACCGCGTTCAAAGCTCTATTCTAATCTAGGCTCATGGCATTCACGCCGTTCTCTGTGATCGCGATGTCCGCGACCCTGGTGCCGAAGGTCGAGATATACACACTGCTCGCATGCAGCGTGCACAAACCTGAGATCTTCGCACCCTCGGCGTCTCTCCCGCAGTACACGCTAGCAGGATTTGTCGATGCCGCCTCCGCGCGCCCGGGCCATCCGCCCGCGTTCGATATCGCACTGGCGACCACCGAGGCCGGCGCCGCAGACCGCGCGCGGGAGACGCCGATCGCTGCGTGTGCCGCGGATCCAGTCGTGCAGGCGGCCGTGGCGAAGCTCAACACGGCGATCACGACCACCATGGGAGCGCTGGGGTGTCTCACGACTGGCTGGTGGGGCTCCTACTCCGACAGGCGTGGAAGAACCAGGGTTCTTGGTCTCACCGGTCTGTCTCCCCCCCCCCCAATGAGTGGATGGATCTCGCTGATACGTCCTAGTCTTCGGCCTGTTGATGAATGACTTCGTTTTCCTGGCTGTGACCAAGCACTTCCAGACTATTCCCGGCGGCTACTGGTTCTTAATGGTTGGGCCCGTCCTCGAAGGCTTGCTCGGCGGCTTCACGACCGGCAGCGCGGCCAGCCACGCCTACATCGCAGACATCACGCCCCCCAGCGAGCGATCGCGCGTCTTCTCCACGTTCCTTGGACTCGTTTTCACCGGGCTCAGTGCGGGCCCCACGGCCGGCGGCCTGCTCATCAAATACACACACAACACCTTATCGGTCTTCTATCTGACCGCGGCGATCCACGCGCTGTACGCGTTTATGACGTGGTTCCTCCTCCCTGAATCCCTGTCTGCCGCGCAAATGCAGGCATCCGCGCTCCAGAAGAAAGAGCGGGAAGCGGCGCTCGCTCGGCGGGAGCGGACGCTCCTGTTCCGCGTGGAGCGCATGTTTGCTTTCCTCCAGCCCCTGGCCGTCTTTTTCCCGGAGCGCGTTCCGGGAAAACGAGGCAGGGACTGGAATTTGATGCTTTTGGCGGCAGGATACGGGCTGGCGATATCTATCATGGTTTGTGGACCTTGGTGTCAAGTCGTCCCCATGATATCCTTGCTGACTGGGTTGCAGGGGTCCATGTCTTTCAAGACACAATATTTAATCGCTACGTTCCATTGGACGAGCGAGAACATTGGATATCTCTTGACTATCACCGGAGCGTCCCGGGCATTTTTCCTTGCCATTCTCTTACCACGTGAGCCCAGGCGACTCTGGTTCTCTTCCTGACTCTTATTCAAATTGCCAGTGTTGATCAAAGCCCTGAAGCGGACCTTTTACAGACAAACCGAGACGCACTCGGAAACCGAACCTCTCCTGCGCAAAGAAGAAAGGAAACCAGAGCACTCTCCTCGGTTTGACCTGTCGCTTGCACGAGTGTCGATGTGCATTGAGATGGCGGGCTACATCGGCCTCCCGTTTGCGACGACTGGGACGATGTACACCGTGTTCATGGTCGTGTCCAGCTTCGGCGGAGGGTTCGGGCCCGCTGTCCAAAGCACCGCCATGGAGCTGTATGCGCGGAAACGGGGTCTGCAGGGCACGCCGGCGCACGGCGAGGGAACGGGCCGGCTGTTTGGGGCGATGAGTGTCCTGCAGGCGCTGTGCGCATCGATCCTTAGCCCGGCCATCTACGGCCTAGTGTATATGAAGACTGTGGCGACGTTCCCCAAAGCCATCTTCTTCGTCTCGATTGCGTCGCTCCTGCTGGCTCTGCTCTGCGTCTGCTGTGTGCGCTTGCCGCCCGATGATTCGCCTGATCGTGACATCGAGCACCACCCGGCCAGGGACGGGACATTGGTGGATGTCGATACTTCGCCGAAGAATGTTCCAGACCTGGTGGTTACTGCGCCCAACTGAGTCAAATGTATATGTACTATAGTATAGTCTTCCGCGCTCTTATCGATTATATGTCGATTACATAGGATTAGAAATAATATTATACTGTAAGTATTCAGATGAGGACATCAGACCGCCGCGTATTTACTACATCTCAAACTTGAGCGTTCGCAGCTGCTGTGCGACCGTCCGCATCTCAGTGTTCCACTCCCCGCTCCACTCCCGCTCCTTCCTGCGTCTACCCGTCTGCAGCGCGCAGTGCAGCCGCTGTGCGTCCCCGCGCGCCAGAAGATCCACGGCGCGAATGGGCAGATCGTGCATCGGGGACAGAGGAACCATGACACGGCCGACGAACGACCGCGACCGGGCCAGTTTCGGGAGTGACTTCTCGCTGTCCTCTGCACGACTCCGAGGCCGGCCCCAGCCTGCGTTGTGTTTCAGGAGCGCACTGCGCGAGCGGCGGAGACTCGGTGTGGCGTCGAGCTCCGGGCCCGATGCCAGCGCCGGTGCGACGTTCTCGCCCAGTGTGCGCGCCAGCTTCTGCGCGTGCCGTCTGCGCGCCATCGCGGCCGCGTTCCCGGGGTGGCAGGAGGGGCGGGTGAGAGGATGTTCAGCGTGATGGTGAGGGTGGGCGACACAGGCGTCAGCGGGGGCGATGGAGCAGACAGATGGGTGGTAGAGCTGGCTGGTGCTGCATCAAGGTGCAAGTAGAGCCTCGGACGACCAGCCGTGGCGTTCAGCCGCTTCGAGCTGCTGGAAGAGGTCGAAGAAAGAGTGTCAGGCGAGACGATTGGGGCTCGCGGAGAAGAGGACCCGGCCTCGGAAGAAGTGGGACTGAGATGGTGCTGCGTGCTGTTGTTCTCAGACATCGCAGCGGTGATGACCTCAGGCGTCACCCCCAGCAGAGCTTGCAGTTTCCGAGCGGACCGCACCAGGCGGCTTCGCTCAGTGGGTAAAAGCACGTCCGCGTGTAACATGGAGAAGGCGAAGAACGAGGGTGGCAAAAGTGGGGAGGATCGGCGTGTACGTGCGGTTTAATAGGATTGCGTTTTAATCAACGACCGGAGGCATAATTATTTCAACTCGTGGTGCGTTTCCGATGCACAACGACGATGACAGGATGTTGCCATTATTAGTCGCAAGCGCCATTCACAAAGTCGCAGTCGTATAGAGAGAAATGTGCTCTCGACTAGCTAGCAGCGCTCGGCCCCGGGAAGATGAAGAGGCAAAGACCAGAGCTGAAAGCGAATCGCAGCTCTCAAGATGTTGATCGCCGATCCCCATGTCATCCCACTGACGTCATCGTTGCGCATCGTGTCGCAGTAGGCCCGCGGAAACTCAGTATTATGTCACTCAAAAATAAAGTAAAACAAGGTCCAAAAATGGCCCAACCTCACTCAGTAGAATAAAGTAAAACGGGTCAAAATGTGCCAAGGTACCTCAGAATTTAGCGTAAAACAGCCCCCAGTTGAGCGGTTTCGGGCTTGAGGGGGAGAGAAATGTTCTAAAAGCGGAGCTGATCAGACAAGTTCCCCTCGCTTTTTCCCAGCTTTCACCCATTTAAGCACAGAACGTGCAGTAAATCTCAGTCCAAGAGCTCAAAAAAGACCTCACGTGAACGTATGCACAAAAACTGAGGGGTCCCTCGAAATTTAAAGTAAAACTACCCCAAAATGGCAATTTTCGTAAAGTAAAACAGTCTTTGGTCCTTGAGTGACCTTATACTGAGTTTCCGCGGGCCTGTCGCAGTACTTGTGTGGATGATAGGAGTGTGGGTGCATGTAGCCATCTCGAATTTGCCATTCCAAAGAACAAAAGAAACAATCAGCATCGTACACGATCATCCCACCAACATCTAGGCTCGCTCTCTGATACCCGCATCGCTGCCGTACTCGCTGTCGCTGTCGTCCTCTCCGCGTCCCGACCGGCGCCATTTCTCCGTCACGCTGTTGCGGCTGTGGTTCCGCTGCAGCACGTGCGCATTCGGGATCGACACCGCGATCTCCTCGATGTCGTCCGCCTCGGCGTTGCGCGGTGCAAAGCTGAGCGGCCCAGAGTTCGTCGACGAAAGCGGCGCCCGGGAGGAGACGCGAGGCGCGATCGTTGAGACGTCCGAGGTGAGGAGGGTCGTCGAGCGGTTGTTGAGCGCGACCAGCAAGGTGTTGGCGTAGCTGAGGTGTGGTGCAATCAGATAGAATATTAGCAGAACAGACGCCAACATACATTCCAGGAAGGATCATCACCGGGCACACGAAGTAGGTCGTGTTCTTGAAAAGCGCATTCATGTTCTGGTCGTATACTTGATAATCTGGAATCCACTCACCGGAGCGCATACAAAGAGCAAGAGCCCGAGCAATGCTACAACACTTGCCACAGCATTCGTTTCGACAGAGAGCCGAGCGACGCTAGTGATGGTGCCGCCGACAGTGCGCTTGCCCTTGGCCTCCGTAGACAACGAGAGGGGGATCATGACAACAGTGACCAGAAGCGCGGCAGCAGCGCCACCAGCGAGCCATAGGTAGACGAGGATGGTGCGCTCATGGTCGTGCTTGGGACTGACCGCCATGTACGACACGGCCGCACCGCCGATCCCACCGGCGCATTGGGCCATACCGGCCTGGCGCTGGGGTCAGCAACGAAGAGCCGGGCAGACGCAGCAGCGCTCACAAGACCGACGAGCACAGCCAGCGGCCACATGACCTTGCGGATGACCACGATCCGATACGCAAAGAAGAACTGGACCAGCATGGCGATGAGAGATCCCGCCAGCGGAGTGTAGAAACGCGAGTTGCGCGAATCTGCGAAGCGTGCGATCTTGCCGAACCCGGACCCGTACCAGAACTCGACGTCGGCGGCATTGAGGCAGATCGAGACGAGGATCAGGAGCGAAACAAAGTAGACTGGGGGGAGGCGTGAGAACGATCCGGTTGCTGAGCTGACAAAACATACCGAGGCCTTTAGTCAAGATCGAGTCCAGAGGGAAACAGATCCGGTAGACGTCTGCAATAGGGCTTCAGATGCATTCAACAACACGGGATGAGCGGGTACCCACAGACTTGTATCAAAAGCGTTCCGACGAAGAAAAAGTTGAGCAAGGATCCAATCAGCTGCGGCGTCACTCTGCTCCCTCGTCAGACTCGTCAGCGAGACAGGAGAAGGAGGAGCACACACATAGGTGTATAGTCCGGGAGCTGGTAGACCACCGCAGTTGGGATGGTCGTGGGCATCTGGAGCTGGGCTGCAGACGGCGGGGTACCCAGAATCGTGGGTAGCAACGTCGAAGCAGACGCGGACGAGGCGGAGGCAAGTTTTTGGATCGTGGTCATGATGGGAGTGCGGGACGAAGTGGGAATGCAGGTGCTAGGTCCGATTTATAGCTCGCAAGGTCTCAGACACGCCGGATAGGATGGGCGAGTGGGGGGAAGACTCAGACGCATTATCCGCTCCGCTTGCAAGACATGTCGCATTAGAATCGGTAGGTCGTATAAAATGCCCTCAGGTACGAGATAGCGTCGCAATTGCTCTGTTTCAGAATGATGCGATACCGGGGGGCTGCCTGACGAATGTACACATCATAACGTGGTTGCACGAGTAAGAGAGAGAAGACAAAGACTGAATCTTGCGGCACTAGACAACAAAAAGATACGAGGTTTGAGAACTGGGGGTTCAGCTCTAAGCGTAAATGGATGTGTGCTGGTCTGCTAGACAATATGATGAGACTAAGCAGGAAAGTAAGTTACGGTTGTCACATGCGAGAAAATCTTAATCAACCGATTAGATAAGGTCCGATCGTGCGGTCTGAAGAGCGCGATTGGGGGATAGACATAGTGGTTTCTGACAAATTGACATGAAGATGTTCTCGTTTGAATACACGTATGAGCTTTGGTTGCCCGAGTCCAGTTGTCAGTGGTCCATATACTTAGGATTCTATCTCATCACGGAGATCGTCGTGACAGGATCTCTCTCCCAACCATGATCACACCGCGTTTTGAATGCAGTCAAACACCCAACACAGTCGTAATAAACATCTACTGTCCCTCTGTCCGGGTACAAGACCGTCTCCCACCCCCTAAAATCCGCTGAATCACATCAAGTAGGCTGCAGACGTTGAAATTCACGTCGACGACACGCTCTTCTCACTGCACCTGAATCCGTACTTTCTCCGCCTCACACTACCCCATCCGGTCCTCGAGGACGACGATTCGTCCGCCAAATATGATGCTGGGACTGGATATCTCACCGTCACGCTCGCCAAGGCGAACCCGGGACAGGACTTTCCTGATCTGGACTTGCTCTCAAAATTGCTGGCTCCTCGGCCTGCGACGCAGACCCAGCCGCCGCAAATTGAGGTTTTAGGCGACGACGATGGAGGTGAGGAAGTGGAACGACATCTAGATGAGGTCGAGGATCTCACCGCTCGCACGGACGCGCTTTCTCTGGAACGAGAGGAGATTCTCCGAGGTGCGCTCTGTCTTCCCCTTCCGTAACGGTCACCCGTTCTGACGGTGATAGCTGCGGAAAACGACTGGCAACTACCTCAACAAGTCCCATCTGACGACTACCCGATCTCCATGACGCTCACCCATCCGTACGGATTCTTGAGCCGGTATGGCGGGTACTTCAAACACGCTCAGCACACCGAGAACGAGATCAACGAACTTGGTGGACAAGCCGAGACTTTGTCGTTGCGCGAACGCAGATCGCGCCGGGTTCAGCATGAAAATGCAAAGTGGGATGAGGAGCATTATATGTACGGTGAAATTCGCTTGTTTTCAGCGGCGTGACTGAATCCAGCGTCATTCAGGGCAGACTATGCGGACGATGAATACATCCAGGAACTCGTGCACTGGGTCAACCCCCGCACACAAAACACGGAATCTTTCGAGTTCTCAGATCAAGAGAAAGCGGCGTTGCTGAATCTGCCGCGGAGAGAATGTTCGCGTGTTCGGGTTTGATCTAAACATTGTTACTGACGTGGGCGAGCAGATCTATCAGATGAAGCACAGACGAGAAATCTCTATCTGTCGCTAACGACAATCCTCTTCGCCGCGGCCTACGAAGCCCGAACCACGCAAGGCGATCCGACCCCAGAAAGCGCTTGGACGATCTGCATCCTCACACCCATCTTCTCCGCGCTCGATGGCCCCCCGTACTCCACCGACCCACCGTCGTCTGATCTAATCGCCACCTTGGTGCAATCATACCGTCGATCCCTCTCGTTCCCATTGTTCCGGTCCTTTGCCTTGGCCGAAAAGTGCCGCTCTGACGTCGCTGCGCTGTTTAAACAGGGAAAACGCGCGATTCTACGCTGTTTGCTCGAAACAAAACACATTCTCGAGCACCATGAGGTGAATTACGTGTACAGCAAGATCTGGGTCGAGGACTTTTGTGTTTGGGTGCAATCGTGTGCAGAGTGAATAATGCGCTTTCTCTCTCGAAATTCCAGTGGAACTGACAAATGGTAGCGAGGCTACATTGCAGGACCTGGGACGGGAACTGCAGTCGTCGCAAATCTCAAAAGCTTTGATCGGATGGGATCTAGAGGAACTGGAAAGCGCAGCACTGGAAGTCCAAGAGCGAGAGCCTGACAGCGATGACGAATGAGGACGAAGGTGATGAAGTTTCTGCACTGATATTTAACAAACTGTTGATGTTAAACGGGTACTAGCATATTGTGATAATGTACAATGCAGTCAGGAACGAGTGCTGCTGTGTACAGATAGTAGTAGTAGTAGTGATAGAAACCAAACCCAAGAAAAAGGAAAGCAGCTGTGTCCATAAGGGGGTGGATCGTCTAGAATGGCGGTTATTATCAGGTTCACCTCCCATTCGCAAGTTCAATGTAGCGGGTCTTCCTCTTCATCGCACGGGAGCTCGATTTCTCGTCGTCGTCCCCTCCCCTTCTCGAGTGCCGTTCGCACAACATGCGGCCGTCAACCTCCCAGTAATCATCCAGTCGTTCCCTGCAGCCTGCAGCATATTCACACAGCATGTGGTCAGGGTGGTAACGGTCTCCAGCATGCGAAACCGCGCACGGGCCCTCGATGGGCTGTCCACAGCTTGATGCCGCGCACAAAGACTCGTTGGCCTCGTGATAGTGATACTTGCACATAGGCTTGTGCTCGTGAACGTAAAACGTCTTGTCCGGGAACGGTTTCTGTGCAAGCTTAGTGGAGGCACTCGGCCTGACAGAGTGAGAAACTCACATGACAAACATGGCAATTAAAACATTCACGGTGGTATTTGCCTTTAAGCTGTCCGTCGGAGGATGATACGGCCTGTTTCTCGATTGGCAGATTGCACCTCCGGCACTGATTACAGGGTCAACAAACCAGCTTCTCCAGTGAATGGCACTCACCTTGGGCAGATACATGTTCTTCCAACATCTCTCACACAGAACCCCGCCCTCGTCCATCTGCACCCATTTACCGTCCTCAATCTTCTTCTCGCAGCGCACACAGATCTTGGGTTTGCGTGCAGTCCGTTGTGGTTTCTCGGCGGACTGTTCGGGAGATCGAGATCGCTGCGAGGCCCCGTTATCGCTCGTTGGCTTTGAGCGCACACTGGCCAATTCCTCAGGACGTCGCCACAGCGAAGACGAACTATCAGCGCTCTCCCTGCTGTCAGCACGACTATGAATACTGCGCGACGAGGGCTTTTCAGGACCGCCTCGTGCGCTGTCACTCGAAGATCGAGGGAGATCAAACGAGTCTCCTGCACGCGCAGATTTGACTGGGCTGTCTTCTCCACCATAATCCGATCCGCTGTCGGAGAGAGAATCTTTCCGCGGTCGAGTATTCCCGCGTGCAGAGGACTGCACAGATCGTATCGAGGGCGCAGGCGGGCTCTTCACTCGCGCTGGCGCTACGCGTTCGTTGGCTCGCCTCAGGTCCGCCGCGTCGTCGTCGTCGTCACCGTCTTCATAATCCGTCGAATCTGCATAGGCCAAGCCATACGCAGACCCAGAGCTCTCCGAACGGAAGTGTTCCTTTTTCGAATACCTGCTGCTTCGTGATGAGACGGACGCCGAAGACTGATGCACACGGGCGCCAGTTCGTGATGGTGGGGAGGGCGAACGACGTCTGCTGAACAACTCTGGGGACTGTGGCGATTCCGGGTATGACGCTATTCCCGGCGAGCCAGAAGATCCCGTGGAGGTCGAGAGTGGTGGCGTAGATGTGGCTGATAAAGAAACAGTCAGAGAGTATGGATCGGTTGTTGCGACACTCACAGCTTGCAGCACCGGTGTCGATGTTCCTAGGCGGACTCGCGCGTACAGTGGATCCTCCGGTCCCTGACGGCGAAACGGTGAACATCGCAGCCCTCGCAGCAGCAGCGAATCCTCTGCGGCCCACCCCGGCCATTCCCGCTTCCCCGCCGGATTGCGTGTTGATTAACGAGGGCTTGGCTACCCCCGCGGGAGGCTGTTGCTGCACCGCCGGCGTTTCACGTGTAGATGAGAAGGAAGGTCGGGCCGTGACGGGAGAAACGGGGGAAACGCCAACACTCGATGATCCCGATCTCGCACGCGTAACGCCGGCCGACAGACCGGACACAGGCGATGCAGGCTGGTCCATGCGCGATAACGGGCTCGAGCGCGGAGGAGCGGCGAACGACGACGGTGCACCTCCCGTGTTGACTCTGGAAGGGATTGGGCGTTGGGACAGTGCCGGAGATGCTGCCCGTATGGAGGGCTGGGGAGACGCTGTCCTTAACGTGGGCTGGGGGGACGCTGTTCGAGCCGGGGGGATGGCCGCGGAACTGCGAGGGGGGAGGGATCCCCGGGAGCACCGGGCGCGTTATTGTTATTGTTGTTAACAAGACCTTGCAACCGTTGCGGTAGGAGCGACGCTGCTGCTGCGGGAGAGATGGAGGGCTTGGGTATATTGAGACCAGACGTTTTTGAGGCATTGGGAGTGGGGAGCGGGGGGACAGGAGCACAGATGTGATCTCCGAGCTCGGCGAGAGGGACAGGCTGATTGCAATTGGAGCATTTGACGCTGGGGAGGACCTGCGATATGCGCCCAGCGGGTTGGGAGGGGGTTGACATGAGCATTGGAATGAGAAAAGAGCGTTAGAGAAAGAAGAGGTAGATATGGTACGTCCAGCGCGACTGCCTAGTGGTGGGGGTGCATGAGAGAAACAATGGTCACGCCAACCGAACGTCTGCATGTGGTCACGACCAAGCGATTTGATGGTTCATCACCGGTGATTATTGGAGATTTGCAGAAGCCTGGCAACGAGGACAGCAGACAATGCATGTAGGATGATATGTACATGAAGCTCCCCAGAGTCCTCGGAGACGATGAGTATTACAAAATGTTGGTCGCACGACCCCGGTCCGAACGTTCGGCTAACGTTATAGAATCAACCACCCAACCAAAGCAGTCTCTTCACTCCATATTCCATCTTTGCGTACATGCTGGTCATCCGCTGAGCCTCGGACAAGCTGGGGCACATGCATCAGTCAATCATTTGGAGCGGACATGTGCTGTGTCGTACCTGACCACGTCTTGGTCAACGACCAGGTCGGCATCGTTGCCGATATCCTCGCAGGCTCGTCGTATGCCGTCAACCATCAAATCTGCAGCCTCTCGACAACAGCTGGCGTTGCCCAGCTCGTCAATCGAGTCCAGATAAGCACTCCCGCCCAGCGAACTGATGCTGCTGTCTCGACGACTCCGCGTCGGATCAATCGGCAGGGTCTTGAAGGCAGCAAAACTGTTTGTCATGGGCACTGTCGGACCCATCATCCGGGCGGTCATCGAGCTGCTCGCTGGTCCAGTAGCCCGTCCCAAAGAGGAAGGAATGCGTGAAATGCTTGCAGCCGCAGCCAAAGACTTGCTCTTGAAGGTCGAATCGGAGCGAGACAGGGCTTGCAGAGTGTTGCGGATCGAGTAGCTCGAGACACGGGTCGTCTCATTCAGGGTTGTCCAGGACACGACGAATCCGGAATTCTGGTCGGGGTCACAACTGGCCTCTTCGAGGGGGGACAAGATATAGGCCCCTGTATCGACCTGAATTGAGCTTCACCTGAATTGAGAATGTCAATCGCTCTCACCCTTTGATATCTGGGTAATGTCTCCAAGCGGGATCCGGGTATACATCTTCACCTTCTCCAGGGTATAATCGTAACTCTACTGCCCGTGAGTTACAGACAGTCAGGAGTTGGCATAGACCCACGATGATATATAATGCAGAAACTGTCTGGAAGTTCGTCAGTCTTTGTGTGAACTATCGGGCTATGAGTCAACGCACCAGGAGGAGGACCTTCTCTTCAAACTTGTCCCCTATCTTTGCATTCAACTCTTCGGGACCAAAAACAGTCCACCCCGAAAGCAAGCGCTCTCCATCCTGCAAGACACGGGATACGGAAGTAGCAATGGCTTCTGTTCTAATCTTGGACAACCGAATCAGATCGCGAGGGTCTGTTGATTGCAGCTTCAAGAGGAACTCGGAAAACACCGAGATCGTCCGGTTTCCAAGGGTGAAGTCAATCACAGCTTGGGAGAACCAATCGCTGAATGTCGAGGTGTACATTCTTTGTGATTTTAAGGCCATGGCGACGATGCTAAGGAGATGATGCCTACCTCGCGAGAGAATTGACACCGTCGTTCAGCATTCCACTCAGATCCCGTTTGCCTGTTCTTGTAAAGTCGCCTTTGAGGGCAGAGGTGCCGGCACTGGAACATATCAGATCAATACCGAGTTCGGGTGAGAGCAACACCCACTAGGCGCGACTGATCGCATCACCGTTATTGGCCCAAACTGAAACGAACGGCTTCAGTTGCGTGCTATGAGCGGTTTACTGAGACCGACCATCATTGAAGACATTATCTGCTTCGGTACGCCCGTCCGAAGACGGATGTGTCAACGCAACAGCACTGAGCTGATTGTTCATCACATGGCGAGCGAAGGCAGACTGGACAACATTTGTCCGGTCGAGACAGTCGATGCAGTTGACACGGTAAATGCCTTTCTGAGACGACATCGTGTAATTTCCCGAGATCCAGAGATATCTAGATCTCCCTCAGCTACGACACATAAACGGCATTTGTGAACGTACCCCTGTTGTTCGAATGTACGCTCCATCGTGTCAATCAATTGCGAGATGTTCTCATATCTCAAACCACATGAACACGAAGCACGGATCCAGAAAAAGAGACGCACTTCATTCCTTTGGTCTCCTGGTGGAAATCATATTCATGATAGACAGCATCCTTCTCAGCCAGTTCGGCCATGTAATCGCGGTAAGCGCCAGTCACTTGCCCTTCCTTGCCGTGCTGCTCAGCCAGATTGACGACCGTCTGAGTCACATAAGCCGTCGCGCGAATTCAGAACTGGGCCAACAAACATGAGGACCGTATCTTGGGATGGTGCGTAAGAAATGCCTTCGGATGGCATCCAGATTCTGGGCGTGGGTGCGATCGGTGGCCAGAACAGGCGGAGGCTTCAGCGCAAGTCCTGTTTGGGTCCAGAATAATGGGACTGGAGAAACGTCAGTTGAGAGTGTGTAGCCCCCCAAATGCTGCTCACTAGAGCCCCGGAGCTGTACATATGAGAAAATATTTGGTGAACCCTCGCGCTAATCGCAATCAGTCAGTTGTCGCAAGAGATCGGGATCGTACGGCGACGGACCTCAAGACGAAGGATAGTCTCTGTCTCAACGAAGTTGGCTACATGGGCATCATCGTCGATGCCCCGGCGCTGATAGCGCAACCCCGCTCTATCTCTCGACCGCCTCGATATGATGGTGTAATCCGCTGGCGTCACCTCCTCAGACTCGGAGGGAACGTTGAAGGTCGAGCTTTGAAAATATCCCTGCATGACTGGCAAAACGAACGGATGAACCTGCAGGTAGATCAGCGAAAAAGAACAGATCATCAGACGTGGCATGTCGTACCCCTGCATCCACAAACGGCTTTGACATCCATTCATTCCACCAGAACTGTCGATCCACTCTGCGCCAAAGAGGCAGAGTAGGGTGCGGCTCAACCAGGGCATCGACGGTGCCGTCACTCGAGGAATCAGCCGGCCCCGCAGAATCGAGAGCGTCCAGGTCAGCCAGTAGCGCGTTCTTCTTCTGCGAACGGGCAACCAACTCTTGTTTCTGCTGCAGAGATCGCGTCAGATCTATTTTCAAGTCAGATCACGAGAACCTGGGATGAAGCAACGCCCGACCGAAAGTGTACGCAAAGTACATTCCCCCCTTGGAAAACTCGCGCACAACTTCCTTCACGATCTTGTCCTCGAGTTCAGAATGCCGTTCTTCAGCCGTCGAGGGAGCCGGTGCCACGGCTTCGACAAGCTTGTGGATAGCAGCAGCCGGTTCTTCTCTGTGAAGATCGATGACCTCGTCCAAGGATCCCGACTCGGGAAGCGTCGCGCCATCAGGCGTTGGAGGTGCAGTGGCAGTGCGCTTCGTCAAGCGACTCCAGAACGATAGCCGAGACGCAAGAGTCTTGACAACCGGAGAAGAAACGGCAGACTGATCGTCTGCTAGGGACGACAAATCGGAAGTCGAGGACAAGGGCGAAGTGGGGGCCGAATGGTCTTTGGGGGTGAGGCTGAAGCTGGAATCGATGGGGGTCATAACGTGCACATCGTCCGTCGTAGAAAACTGAACGCGGGGCGGTGAGCGGGGGACCTCGGTATCCGATGCGATGCTCTCGACCTCGGTGTCGTTGTCGGAGACGATCGAGTCCAGAGTCTTACTCTGCGCTATCAGCGACGGTCGCGCGGCATGGGTATTTCGGGATGCCAGAGTGTTCAGAGCGATCCTAGCTCGATGCTCGACTAGCGGAATGGCGGTAACTCCTTTGACATTGTACACGGTACGCGACGCGTCCAAACCTTGCGTCAACAGTTGCTGTCAATCACAAGACGAAAACATCAATGTAGCCGACTTACACTGTCCGGCCTCCGATTTGCCACTCAGCACAAGCAGATACGACGCTATGTATTTAGGTTAGCGAGCGTGCGGCAAACAGGGGCGAGAAACGCCCAACCCGAAAACAGCTCCAGAACGCCGATGATTCCATATACAACGACACTTTGGGACCAGTCTGCATCTTCAGATTCAACGCCATCTCCCTGAATCTCTTCCACCTTCACTGTCTTGTTCCAAGCCAACCGCAGATGAGATGTCGGTCCCGGCTCCGAGGCGGACAAGCCGGGAATATGTTGGCGCAGCAGAAGGGCGCCGGAGGTGACTAGGAGGGCTATATGGTCGTAGGGGCATGGATGTGGGACGGGCGGAACGACATATTTCGGTTGCAGTCCAGTGATGTGCGGGGAATTTATGGACGTCGGAGTTGACGAGGCTGGCAGACTTGAGGATGCCTGCGCTGCAGGTGGAGACTTCGGTGGGCGAGAGAAAAGGCGCTTCATCGTGCGTGCTCCGAACCCCGCGCGAACGAGTGCGGTACGAGAGGAATGCCGAAAGGAATGTAGGGCACGTGCCAGGGAGATTAGATGACGTCGATCAATCTTGTGCCAACTTTAGTCTTGCAGTTTCAACTAGACCTACATGACTCAGACAGGCAATCTTCTCAATGATAGCGAGACAACAGAGATTTGAGAAAGTTCGAAATCGTTACAAAACATTATTCACAGCAAGAAAGAGGTAAGGACAGCGTCAATATATGTTACTGGTGGTTTCAATTGTGTTCATCATTGTGGCACGGGCCTCTGGTAGCCAGGCATGGCACTCGTATTTTCTGCCGTGGTGCCTGGCAGAGTCTGACTGATGCGAGAGAAGAAAGTGTCCCATTGGCCTGAAAAAAGATGAATACTGGCATGAGGATAAATCGAGAGCAACGAACCCCAATCAAACATGCCCCCGGGTATACCCTCCAGGAATGTCGTGTCTGTGATGGCCAGTTCGGCGAGCGAATTACTAGATGCCGCCTGCGGAAGCTGGTCGAGGGCGTTCATGACCTGCACCGGCTGGTTACCGGACGGCCCCATGTTCATCGCAGGGTTGACGTTAATATGATTACGCCCCGTGGGTAAGGGTGTGAAGTTGACCATGCTACCCGATGGAGCGCCAGCGGTGCTCGGACTGCCGAGCAAAACAGCTGCTTCCCCTTCCCGGACAACGGTGCCTTGTGGCAAGTCATCCAGACCAGGCGAATCGCTTTGGGCGATGAATACACCGCCCCCCGGCCGTGTGGGATCGGGCTTGTAATTGAGCGCAAGGGGCTGCTTGCCCTTGACACCCCCGGTAGGATTCAGCGCAGGTATTTCCAGCGGCAATTGCGGACCCTGAGTAGCCTCAAACAACAGGGTGATAATTTCGGCAGTCTGCAATAGGGACTGTCAGCTCTGAAACGCAATCTGATAGACACAATATCACCTTGCGCCTGGCGGACATATGATCGGGTGAAAGAGACCCCTCCCATCTTCGCACACAGTCTCTGAGCTTCCTCAGCCGAGCAACAGCCTCCGGGTCTTGGCGCCGGACCCATGTGTGGTATTGCACAAAAGCGCATGATGTGGCAGCATAGGCCACCAGCAGCCAGACATCGTAAACGCGCTCATGAGCATCCAACCAATCAATGCTTTCGCCAGTGAGAGCAACTAATGTAGTCCATTGCGGCACGGTCAGACCGAATTTGAGATGGGCAGGGCAGGCATAGCTGATGCGCATAAACACCCGCCAGAAGATCATGCACACTGAGATGTATAGCAGGTGCAGAATACCGCCGCTTTGGCTTGTCTCGGGGCCCTTGAATCTGAGGCTCTCAGGCAGGTTGGCCTTCCAGTTTTCGATGTCTGAAAGTAGCTTATGGAGCACATCATCGGTCACCAGCGTGAGACCAGACGGGCTGTCGCACATTAGACAATTCATATGACGGGCAGCTGCAACGTACCTGTAAATGGTCTTGACAACTCGGCCCCCGATAACACTCAGTCGCACGAGCTCATCCAGGTATATGTCTTTGGAATCTCCGGACGACGGCAATCGCACGTCGCAATCATGCACGTCGATCATTTGCGGAAAACCGTACACCAAACTCGTCCTAGAATGAATTTTTAGTGCTGTTGAACAGCCGAATGCACACGTCAACTCACCAACGGTCGCTGATCAAACACGCACCCCAAACTCGACGGCGCAACTCAATGTCAACTTTGACCATCTCCGCGCGATGAAGTCCGAGATCTTGCGCCTGTCAATACTGTCAATGGAAAGTTCCGTTGTAAGAATCGACTGACCATGCGGATGGCGGCACCCAGTCTTGCCCACATCGCAGACAACGCTGTGGGAACAAACTGCGAGTGGCAGTCGCCGGTCATGGACAAGATGAGGAGCGCTTGCACGTTCGCCATAGTCGGTGTGCTCAAGACGTCTTCGCCCCTGATCACACCATTGACTGCCCAACGGATAGAATCAAATAACGCCTGAGGAACTTCCCTCCTGGCGGCCGCAACGAGACACATAGACCAAAGCAAGATGGGCGGCGGCGAAGAGAGCGCAAGAAATTCTGGCTTCGTGATGATAGGGAGCAGAGGTTGAACATCTGCGAAATAGGAGTTCAACAATTGCTCAATCATCGCCGGATCGATGGAGTAGTCTATCGGCCGCGGCGTCGAGGTCTCCTGTTCGCTGCTCAGAGGCTTGGCAACGCGAATGAGCCCGTCGCCATTCTGAGAGACTTCGAATGAATGGTGATAACGAGAGTCGTAACCTTCGTAGATTCGTGATGAAATCGAAGCCGTAGAGTGGAGCAGATGAGCTGGGGACGTTGGCCCTACTACGCGTTAGAGCAAGTGAGAGTGAAGCGACTGGTACACACCAAGAACACTACTATCACGCTGCTTGTCGCCGGAAAGAGATTTTGAGGGCTTGGCAGCTTGACCAGCTTGACCAGCTTGACCATCCTTCTCGCCCTCCTCAACAAACTTTTTCTTGCGGAATCGCGTCTCCGCAATCGGCAGAAAAAAGGTGCAATCAAAGCAGAATTGCTGACAGTGTTGACATCTCGCTGGTTCAGAGTCGGTGATGATGTCGCAGCGAATCTTCCGCGACCGACACGAGTCACAAGCACGCTGAGTCTTGGTGCGCTTCTTGAGTTCAAGAGCGGCTGCCGCAGCGCGTGATTGGCTAGGCGAGGCGGCATCCGCCGATTCCCCATCATCGTCAGAACCTCCCTTATCCTTACCAGCTGGTTGAGACTGTTTGCGTTTCCGCTTTTGTCCGGCAGCAGAGGCGGAATCCTGCGCTGCGGTCGCGAGCGCAGCTGGTTCTGCGGGTGGGTGGGCAGGCGGGGGCGGCCCATACATCATGACCTGCGGAGGGTACTGCGGGTAATAGTGCGGGTAAGGCGCATGATGGACAGGATACGCGTATTGCGGTGCACCTGGGGCACCTGGAGGCGGAGGGGCGGCTGCATATTGTTGAGGCGAGAAGGTGGGAGGATATGGTGGGTTCATGATGTATGGGGGATAAGGGAGAGCCGTGGGATGCGGAGGGGGAGGAGGGGGTGCCGGCGAAGCTGTTGCAACATAGTTATTAGTTACCTTGCACAGTTAAGGAGGATGGGGAGCCAGACAAGTACCGTCGGGGGCGGCGGCGGCTGCTTGCCTGCGGGGTTGCCGAGATTTTTTGGACGTCGGCTTGACGGCCACAGTTGAAGCCTCTGGAGGTGCAGGTGCCGGAGCGGGGACTGCAGGTGGCGATGACATGGTTTCTCGGCTCTTATCTAAACCGCCTTTCTCCACAACAATTTTTAGGAGAACTCTTTAGGACTCACCTCAAGCCTTTCGGCGCTTTGGTCGTTTGGGGGCGGAAACAAGATGCGGCACCTACGGATCATTGAATTCAAACTCAGCCCCGCTCAACGCGCAAAATCAATTCAAAAAACTGATTCGGATCTCTGTCCGAATCTCCGATCTTTCGACAGATTTCCTTCCATTCGCGTGGATGTGGAGCCACAATGATCGATGACGTAGAAGATCGAGATTGAGGTGGATATTTTTGAAATGCAGATGCTGGCACGGGAACCCGCTCGAATGCTACTTGGCCGTAGTCAATCCTGCAAGTTAGTGCAGTCAGGCCAGACTTGAAAGCGCGAATGTTCCGCCGAGCTCCAATTCAACATCATGACGTCACGGTAGATCCTCGGCCGAATCTCACGGACCAAGCGCGGACATATTCATTTGATCAGGTTGCTGACTGGCGGCCCTCCGGGCGAAAAAAACTCGCCCGGGTTTCGAATCTTAGGATATAGTTTACGTGCATCTTGGAGCCCAACCACGGGCAGTATGTATGAACTTGGCAGGGGACGGGGTCATTTGGGACAGTCTATGTCTCAGCAATGCCTCGAGGCCAGGGACTGAATGCAATTGTGATGTGATGGCTGATGAAGTCTTTTTCCATCTACTCTGTAGACTCCTACTTACGTGGACAACCCGGAGATATATGCAGATGTTGTATAATTTAGACTAGATCAAGACAGATGTATTACTCAACGAGTTTGCATCACCCCCGGATTCACCTGTCGTCCGTCCCGAGTCGCTGGACTCGCAAAATCCAGCCACGAAAAGCCCACGGGGCGACACAACACAGCCGCAAGATTGCGGCGCCACGAGCCGTGTGAAAATGGATTGGGAGGAGCTGGTCCAGGCACAAGGCTTTTGTGCGCTTGGTTGCGGATCTGCGGACAGATCGTGGGCAATCGATCCGAAATTCTCGACAGAGGGAACGTACCTGCTCGATGGTGGTGATGTTTAACAGAAGTAGCTAGTGACGGAGATTAGCTTTTGGCATTGCATCAGCTGCGGACGTACTCGGACGTGGTACAACATCAGAGCGGACACGGGCCAAACAACCGCCACAGACAGGATGAAGACAATGACGCTCCCCCACCCCTTTCCACCGTGATCGCCGAGGGCCTGCCTGAATGTCTCGTGATTTCTCCGTGTCAGAAGATACAGGTGGATCGCGGAAGTGCAGAGAACGAGAATGACGGTCAGGGTGGCGGAGACAAGCAGAACAAAGAAGCAGGTGTAATTGCGGCGCCCCACGCAGTTATTAACCCACGGGCAGTGGTGATCGCAGTCATCCACACAGTTATCGCACTGGACGTGGATCAGAAGGAAGCCGCGCCTGAACCAGAAGCTACGCACCATTTTGCAGTGGCTGGATCGAGGGGGGCGATATGTTTTACACGTTGGACAATACTTGACTCTCACGCTGCACTCTGGTTAGCACATAATTCGGAATGCATCCGTCGAGACACTCACACGTCAGACCGAACCTTGAGGTCTCTAGGCATAGGCGCTCTCCTACTTCCGTCTGATGGTGATGTGGCTGGATACGGAGGATCTGGGTCCAAACCCCGGGGAAGGATTCCTGGGTCTCGGAAAGCAGTAGCTAGCATGCTCGATATCGTGATCAGGGTCATGTATCCGCATACAATGGCCGCAGCAGGGCTCAAGTTGTGCCACCACCATGGTCCCGTCGTCCCAAACCAGACACCGGCGATAGTAAACAACAACGTCAGAGATCCAATAAAAGCGTAGGGCGAGTCGCCCCCCGAAAGCACGTGCCCATTCAAGAAAAACCGATTTCGTGAAGGATGCAGCTGATAGTTTCGGAAAGGCTTCTTGGTGTCTGGATCAATGTCGGGCAGTGCCTCCAGTGATGGTCCATCGTGAATCCCTCGAGGCGCAAACCCAAATGACGGTACAGGTGAGTCGAGAGGGCTGTGGAGAGCCTCGGAGGGGAAGTCCGTAGGCGCCATCGACGTCTTGTACGGAGAGGCAGAGGGAATGTCGTATAGACCCATCCCCACGTCTTCGTCGCGGGCTTTGCCATCATGGGGCGAACGCCCTTCAAACGTCGACCCCATCCCAACACCTTGGTGTATCGACTCCACACTCATCCCTCGTCGCAGACTGAAAACGCGCTCAAGACTGTGGCGGATCAATCGACCAGTGGCACTGCGAGGGGCGGGGCCAGCATTTTCGCTGTTTCCGCTCGGGCGAGGAGATAACGCAGGTCGAGTATTGATAGTTAGCGGGGGATCGCGTACCGCCCTCGACCCTTTATGATCTTCTTCAGTCGTTCCACCAGCGATGCTTCCCGTGTGCTCGTCTGAATCGCTGGACAGTCGTTTAGTAAGTGACGTAAGGTTGTAGACATCTCCATCGCCTGGAAGTGCTGAGGAAGACTCTACGGATGGCTGTCTGTACTGATGGTTGGGACGCGACGGCCGAAAGAAAGAGGCAGATGGTTGGATGCCACCAGCGTGCGTGGTGCTATTATAATGGTATTGGGACGCGAAAGTCGGCACGGTGGGAGAGCGGGAAGGCTCTACACGCGGTGAAGAAAGGGGCGAGCTTGTTCCGTTGCTTCGTGTACCGTAGCTGGCTTGTGGGCCATGTCCTGAAGGACTGTTGGAAGCAATCGCAGTGAGAGTCGAAGGGAGAGGTAATTGTGAAGGAGAGGGCTTGTCCGGGAAGTTGGGAAATGAAGGTGACGAGGTCATGCCGAAAGCATGCAAGAACAGTAGAAGGTTCCAACGAAGAGGTATCGGAGGGGCTTGACAGGGCCTTTCAAATGCCTCGCATCGTCAATCTTATTCGTGGCTGTGCTCTACAAGGCTTTCACACGCTCGTTCTGTTTTTAGATGGCATGGCTTCTAGGTTAACCAATGCGGTCTTGTACGCCTCTATCCCAGATCTATCCATCCCATACTTCCTGGCTACTGCGATCACCGAAGGGGCCCGTCGCACACACGGCCGTCTGATCATCGTTCTCACCTCACCCGTATTCGCGGACAGTCAGGCCGTCTCTCATGCCGCCACTTGGAAGCTAGTACAAACGCTGCTTACGTTCGTCTACGTGCAAACGACCAAAGTTGCGCAGGAGATGAACAAGATTCTATTGGAAGTGGATGTGCTCCTCCGCGGCCCTCACGACGCGGCGCCGGAATATCCCACTCCGCCGGAAGCGGTATTTTATGTCGATGGCGGTACGACCAGTGGAACCATTCTCACTACATCTCTCTCACGCTGCGCAGATTCGATTGAGATCCCGTCCGCTTTCGCTACGCTCCCCCGTTTCGTACTTCCGAGAGAGAGCGCGCGGAGGACCGAAGCAGTAGTACTCGACACCGCGCACCATCACCCCTCGATGTATCCCGTCGTAGCTCTGGGTGGGACTTTCGATCATCTCCATGCGGGGCACAAAATCCTTCTCAGTGTCGCCGCATGGCTTGCGTCGTCCAAGCTCATCATCGGCATCACGTCGGATGCTCTACTCACTCGCAAGGCATACGCGAGTGTCCTGGAATCGCTATCCCAACGCAAATCGGTGACCGAACGGTTCATGCGTGCGTTCCGGCCCGATCTTGTGTACGATCTTGTTGAGATCAGTGATGTTTATGGCCCAACTGGATGGGACCCAGACATCCAGGCCCTGGTCGTGAGCAAAGAAACCCTTTCTGGCGCAGATGCCAGTGAGTTGTCTCATTCTCTTGCTCTTCTATGAAGCTCAACGGTGTATGCAGTTGCCACTCATCGCGCGGCGCAGAACCTGCCAGCTTTGGAGACATTTGTAATCGATGTTATATCGGCTACTTCGACTAGCCTCGGTGAAACGGATGCTGATGCTTTGCGACAAGCGAAGATGAGCAGCACCTACATTCGCCAATGGATTGTGGAGAATCAGAGGTCCACTTGAGAGCTCAGTTGTGATCCATATATCCCACCCGCCTTGTAACTGAAGCCCATTCTGTATTATTTCTCTGGATGTACCAATTCTCCGTGAATCTCACGGTCTGTTCTCTGCAGATTTCGGATGGGTTTCTTCTGTTCTGATTCAGTATCGGATTAGATCGTGTACCAACCACGTGCTGTCAAGAAGCCTGCCGAGCCTGCCGACGACGATTGACACAAGTACATAACTTGCATGTCAACCATGATGATTTCGATTCTGGGGGTCTCACTACTTCTCGGCTCTTGACCTCGACATGGCTCCTGTCCGTTTATCTATAGCATGCTGGGATTATGATCGCATGAAAGCTATTGAAGACGGTCGTGTGAGGCCAGAGGGTATCGAATTGACGTTCTTGAACCTTAGGTATGCCAGGTCTTAATTGCGAGATCTCGTGTCTCATCCTCCGCACTAGGGTGGAGGAAACGTGAGCGGACTTTCATCTCGAGCGGACTTCTTTTCCGATGAATTTATTGTGCAGCTTCTTCCGCCAGCTGAGATATCAGGAGTTTGACATCAGCGAGATGTCCCTGTCGTCCTATGTGGTATGCCACCTGTGCCATGGGATTATCGTCGCGTCATGCTCTCCAGCTCACGCTCAACTCTGACGATCCTCCGTTCATCGCACTGCCGATCTTCCCGTCGCGAATGTTTCGTCATCAGTCGATCTACGTAAACCTCAAAGCAGGAATCCAGAAACCAGCGGAACTTGCAGGCCGCCGCATCGGCACACCCGAGTTCCAAATGACTGCGCCTGTCTGGCAACGTGGCATCCTGCAAGATCAGTACGGTCTGCAGTACGACGCCCCGCATTACTTCACGGGGAATGTCGAGCCCTCGACCGAAGAGCGTCACGAGAAAGTCCCTCTGAAGTTGGCGGATAGCGTCAAGATCCAGCCCATCCCGAAAGGAAAATGTCTCGCTCAGATGCTGGCTGATGGGGAGATCGACGCACTCGAGAGCGCGTGAGTTGCCAGCCGTTTCTCTGCATCCCCATGTCACGCTCAACGCTGTTGCTCAGAACCGCGCCGTCGACCTTTGGCACGCACCCTGACGTCGGTAGATTGTTCCCAAACGCACAGGAAGTTGAAAAAGGTAGGGTTGGTTGATGCTCTGATGTGAACGTGTCTCCTCACTCCCTCACGCAGCCTACTTCAAGGAAACTGGGATTTTTCCCATCATGGTACGTCCAGCAGTCGCTGACGAGCACTCGAATCGCTAAACCACACTCTCCAGCACGTGATTGCTGTGAAGCGCTCGGTTCTGAAGGAGAATCCGTGGATTGCACGGTCGTTGACCAAAGCGTTTACCAGCTCCTTGGAATATGCCTATGACGCAATCCACGAAAGAGCTGCTCTGCGGTCAAGATGGTGATAGCATCTCCAAATCTCAACTCGCTGACTCGCTCGCAGCTACATCTTGCCATGGATGCAATTCCATGTTGAGGAGACACAGGCCGCGTTGTGCGTTGACGGGCAGGCCAAGTGGTGGCAGGATGGGCTCACCACTCAGAATGTCCGCACTCTGGACAAATTCCTCGAGGCATGCCTTCTTTCTCAGCTTCTGCAAGCAATGTAATCTGACGCCGCACAGTATTCGTTCAGCCAAGGTCTGGCAAAGAAGAAATGGGAAGTCAAAGAGCTGTTTGCTCCGGGTTCCCTCGAGGCCTTTGTCGTGTAACTGTAGATCCGAGGGCTCGATTTTCAGCTCAAATCGGTCGTCATTCTCAATTCAATTGGTTGTGCATTACCCCTTGCCATCTTTGAGTTAGTGGGCTCGTCATTGGCAACGGCGCAAGCACTTGACTGAACGCAAGCGATGAATTGGATTATTTTCTCTCTCAAGGAGTGGTGCAATTGGAAAAAACCCTAGCGGGAGGTCCAAAGACATTCTGAACTCTTCTGCTGAACCCATTGTCGCTCAAACACAATGAACTCGTTGGCCAACCATGAACCCATCAAGCCAACTTCTTTCCAACTTCCTACTCATGACTTCTGGGATAGGAAATATCTACTCAGCCATTGAACACAATGTGACTTGTGTCTGGTCCAAACGGTATCCGGTCGACTCGTTATCTCTGCTGGTTCTCTTGGTGACTGTATCAGATTTCGAAGTACCGGAACTGCCTCAGGACCAGTCTCACAACGGGGCTCCAACTCCAACCATGGGGTCCTTCTAGTCTCGATCGCGTGGTGTGGATAAATGACTACGCAGCCAGCACGTCGTCCTTACTGAACCGTCTGCCGCGCCTCGTCTTCGAAAATCTCATCTCTCCTACGGTCGTGGCAAGTATCGATCTGATTCTCTCGCAAAGTCAGAGTCCTAATCTGCTGTGGTATCTGCTTCTGAACTCTGCGTAGGGTCGCACTCTGCATCCGAGGTATTCTGGGTGGACAAATCTTGATGCAGACCGAAATCACGACCCACATCACTCCGAGCACGGTGGGCAACAATTCGTTCCCCTCGTTCTCCTCATGAAACCGATCGGCGAGATAGATTCGGGATCTTCGGGGTGGAGCTGCAGGAATCGATTGGGACCCCGGCAGATCCCATCTCGTCTTGTAGATGTATTGTACATAACGAATTCATGCGTGCATTACTTATCGTCTTGTAAGATATCCTCCATCTGACTTTCCTCGTGATCTTTCTGCAGCGCGATCAAAAAGTCTTGTAGCCCGTCCCCTTCCATGACGGAGGTAAGATTCATCAACGAGAGCCCGATACGATGATCCGTAACACGCTCCTGGGCGTAGTTGTACGTGCGGATCTTGTCACTGCGGTCGGCGCTCTGGACGAGATTCCTCCGGCTCGCTCGCCGCTCTTCCATCTCACGAGCAAGCTTGACTTCCATCAGCCGACTCGCGAGCACCTGGAATGCACGCCGTCGGTTCTAGTCGGAGTTCAGAACACTATCATGGACCCATTCGAAACGAAACGCACGGTATGTTGAGAACGCTCGTCCTGCATGGCCACAGTGATTCCCGTGGGGATATGAGTCAGTCGAACGGCCGATTCGGTCTTGTTTACATGCTGCCCGCCAGCGCCTCTAGCCCGCATGACCTCGATTTTGATGTCGCTCATCGAATACAGCTCCTCCTTCTGTACTTCCGATTCCTCAACTAGCGGAAGAACCTGCCATTGAGAATTTCCGCGTGTGAGATTCAGAATATACTCTCAAGACAAAGCACTCACCACGACCGCTACTGTGCTTGTATGTGTCCTCCCGCTCTGCTCCGTCGCCGGCACTCTTTGCACACGATGCACGCCGGTCTCCAAACTGAACGAGTCATACGCCCCGACGCCCTTGAACTCCACCACAGCATCCTTGATCCCGCCCGAGTCCAGGTTATTCTGCGACACGACATTTGCTTTCCAGCGCGACGTCTGCGCGAGACGTAGATACATCCGCAGCATGTCTCCGAGGAAGAGCGACGCCTCCGAGCCGCCGACGCCCGACTTGAGTTCGACCAGGGCAGATAGATGCGAGGTGCGTGACGGGGGTACGAGGATTCTGGGGAACTCTGTGGTTAGCATGTCCTGCATCGCCTGGGAGAGCATGTCGTAGTCTTCCGACGCCATGGAGCGCAGGTCCGGATCGTCGAGCAGCGTGGTGGTCTCGCGCAGGGCCTGCAAACTGGTTATAAGTACATGAGCCGGGTTTCTGTGCTTCGACCGGGCGATGAACGCACCTCCCGGGTGTGTATCCACTTGTCCCATAGTTCCTGCAGTGGCTCTGATTCCTTCAGTTTCTTCAATCTGGCCACGTCTTCGGGTGTGGACATGGTTTCGGTGAGCTGGATGTGTAATTAGACATGGGCTAGTTCGGTGTGGGGCGGCACGAACTTGGGATGTCAAGGCCACCCTGTCGTCGATCCGGCGCTTGACGACACGAAGAAGGCGAGCACCATCCTTTTCAATCTGCTGTAGAGCAGTAGAAAAGCAACGCCGCCCAAGTGAAAATAGCATGCATGCAAGAAATAATCAACAGAGGCAAATAACGCGTCGCGTCATGACCGAGCTTGAAACGCGTTTTACCGAGCCCGTAAGTAAGTACAATATGTAGCGGATGTATACGATCAGTCAGATTCTCCTCCATTCGAGCTTGCGACATCGCTCTCAGCGTCATCATCGCCTGGTGCGGAAGTGAAGCCAGAAAGGGCAGTGGCACCACCCTGAGCCGTTTTCCAGGCATGTGCCATCTGCAAGAATTTGAAGGTGGTCGGATTGGATTCCCGCTCGTCGTCAGCAAACACCATGTCCCAGTCTGTCGTCGCGTCAGCTCTTAGTTGAGAATGCAACAGCAGATTGCACGCACCTTCGACCGTCTGCCCAGTCTCGGCGTCGACAACGCGCCGTTTACTGACAATTGGCATCATCTCTTGGACCTTCTTGACGTCGCTCTCACTGCCGTGCGTCTCTTCGAATGTCTTCCAGACCTCAAGCAGTGCCACACGCTGGGTTGTAAAACATGGTCAGTGCATTCGCTTTCAGCTTCTGAATGATACCGACCTCGCTCTTGAGTCCTTTGTCCTTCAGATCTTTGTACCCACGCTCGAACACCTGGCGTGCCAGAACCGGGTCTCCTTCCACCGTCTTGACCTCAGCCTCCTCATCGTCCTCCTCCTCCTCATCCCGCAAAGCACGTGCGATCGGAATAGGCTCCGCCTCAAACAAAGCGTAGGATATCCAAACTTTGACGTGACCACTGAGTTGAAGGAGACGTTCATACAAGTTCCGCGCAGCATCTCGTTCGCCCTCTTCAATTTCAAAATCGATGAATGCCTTCCATAACAGTTCGGGCATCGACAGCGGAGACTGAGAGACGCCCAGTTCGAATATGGATCGAGTCCGGGCAAAGTCTTGCAGTTGTGACTCCAATTCAGCAAACTTGATCCACGCGGGGGCGTTTGCCGAATCAAACTGTAACGCAGTTGAGCGAAATCAAGCCAGTTCGGAGGAACCCTTACCTCGAGGTATTTTTGGTACAAGGCGCGAGCACGATCGAATTCTCGTAGCTGAAAGAATGTAAGCTCGTCATCGTGAGGTCAGTCAAAGTACGGACCTCTATTTCAAGGTCAATATAACCCTTGAAGAGAGCTTCCTTCGGTGCCATTCCGATCGCTGCACCCAAGATTTTCCGTGCGGCAGGGAGGTCTAGCCTGCGCACTTCGAACTTGGCAAACATGAGCCACAGTTTCGCGAACGTGAACTGCTTGTGAGGCACAAGCTTGATCGCCGCGTTGTAAATCTGGCGGACCCGTGCAAAGTCCTGGAAGTCGCGTAAATCACCAAAGCAATAATGTTTGAATAGATCTCAGATACCTTGGTCTCAATTTCTTCAAAGAGAGCATAGTCAAGCCACAAGAATATGTATCTCCTCCAATGCCTTTTCTCATTCCCTGGAGGCACCTGGGCAACAGCGCGTTCGTATACTTCTCGCACACGTCCGATGGCGGCCTCTTCTTCTTCAGCAGTGGCGCCTTCCTCTTTCAGATCTCGGAGGGCGGTCTCTTCAAGACGAGCGTAGTCGAACCAAACATCGTAGTTTCTGCCATCTCGCGAAATCTCGTCCTCGTACTGAATTCTTCGCTTGCCCAAGACAGTGTTTTCGAGGGTCGTGCGAGTTCCGTGTTGCTTTTCAAACTTGCTATAAGAGGCGTAAAGCCCTGCCGATTTCGACCGCGAGATTCGAGATAACGCAAACTGTCCCTCAATTCAAAACAGAGGATCAGAAAAGGCGTGCAAGGACACACCTTATAGACCACCCTAGCCCGTTCAAACTCTTTCAACCGAGTTTCCATCTTGGCAAATGCACCAAAGACAGCCTGAGCCTTCTCAACCTGCTCCTCGTCGTCTCCGAAGAACTCAAGCGCAGTTTGGAATACCTCGCGAGCCTTGTCCAGCTTCCCCCTCTCTTCCTCGAACTTGCCCCACTTCACCCACACCCTCGGCTCTGGTCGAATCCCGACCCATCGTTCGAAGATCGCGCTCGCTCGGTCAAGCTCTTGGTAGCGTTCCTCCATTTTAATGTATGCCTGCCACGCCTTGTCATCCGGTTCCCACTGCATCCAGCGCTCGAACACCTGCCGGGCACCGGGCACGTTCTGCAGCAACTCCTCGAGGTAGACGTACTTGTACCAGAGCTGGTCGACCCGCGGGAGGAGCGTGACAGCGCGGTCGAATAGGTTACGCGCGTGCTGGACGTTGCGTGATTTCAACTCCATCTCCGTGTACGAAAGCCAGAGCTGGATGCTACGTGGGTCGACGTCCAGCGCACGTTCAAAAACAGATCGAGAACGCGCAAATTCATTTTGACTGGCCTGCGGGATAATGATGAGGTGGAGGAAGTGGTAAGACAGAATCACGGCGCGTACCTCCCAGTTCGCATACTGCAACCATTCCTTACTGAACACGGATCAGACGTTGTCCAAGTGAATGAGTAGAACACAAACATGCTTCCCCTTGTGCGCCGCACCCGCTCCTCGAACTCCTTTCGTTTCCTGCCCCGGTACTCATGAAGCTCCTCAAAATCCTCAACCCGCTGTCTCGGCGCACGAAAGGCGGATTCTTGTCGTTCTTGGGCCTAAATAGAGTACATCAGCCACAATGCATTATTCAATAACAAATAGCGCACCTCGCGAAGGAGTTGTTCGGCGGTGATCTACCACAAACAGTTCAATGTCCAAATCACCATTACCAGACTGCAAAGCGCACCTGAATCGCCGCCGGAGCGCGGTTTTTATTCTGAAAATTAGTATGAGTTCGCCGGAAACGAAATAGGTGAAACACGTCTGAGCTTACCTCGGCGCGCGACCGTCCTGCATGGCGGCGGGGACGAATGATCGAGCTCGACACACGACCAAACACGTCTGGCAATCGCACGTGTTCCCACGCTCGGCTGTGCGATCCTCTCCCCAGGACTTTGTGCTCGCTCGACACTATTAGCTTGCGCTTCTCGTCTACGGACGCCGCTTCTCTCTTCCCGACCCCTCGCCCTCCTCTTCTTTTGCACAGTGCATCATTAACGATCCTCTCACGATAATTTCACGACTACGATTTCGTAACGACCGCTTTTTCTCGTCTTAATCTCCATGTACCATCCGGATCCCGCGTACGATGCCCGGCCATCTCAATTTCGCCGCCCCTGGTCTCCCGAGCCCTACGACCCACTACCTCGAAGCTCTGGTGGCCGCTCCAACCCACCCCACTCCGATCCATTCAGGAGGAGGGATTATGATTACGACGCATACGACCCGTACGATTTTCCTGCTCGGCGCAGGGAGCCCTCCGACGTCTCTGTGGAGGCCCTTGATCTGGCAGACTACCGCATGACGCTCCGGTCACTAGAGCATATGTCCCACGGCATGTATCCCCCCACACACCGGCCGCTTGCTGCGCGCATGCCGACGTCTATGTCTCGTGGCGATACATTATCATCTAACACACATACTAATTCCGGCGGGCGAAACACAACCCGAAGACCCTTCTCGCTTCCTCCGCCCTCCGTGCAATCGCACTCTACCCGGAACTCACACCCTGCGTCACCCCGCTCCGCTAACAATCACAATCACCCTTACCTCCAACCACCACGCAATTCATCCCCGGCTCTCGACACCGCACACTTTCCCGCTTGGTCGCGCAACTGGTATAACACTAACAACCCAGGCACCGCCGGCTCGAGATCGTCGATCCCAACACCGGTATCGCCACCTGACATGTACACCCCGCTGCCACATTCATCATGGGGGTCCAAACGAACGTTCGAGGAAGATGGTGTGGATCCATTCACGGACTCGAGCCGGGACTATCTTCCGTGGAGTTCAGAACCCCCCGAGTACGGGCCAATCGACCCGGCGCTCAAAGAAGAACGCATGCGCATGCTTGAGCGCGAGTTTGGGACGTCTTCGCGAAACCAGGACAGCTCAAAACCGACGGCAGCTAGCAATGGGGAGTTTTTGGACGCGGATGGGAAACCACTTGTGGGGACGGTGAATGCCAAGGGCCAGCTAGTGACCAAGGGCCCGAAGAAGCGCATCGCGTTGAGGGCGCTGCAGATTGTGCTGGCCGGAGTGGCTGCTGTACCGTCAATATATGCTGCAGCGGTACGTGTTGTGGCGCATGGCTACTCCATATCATGTACTGACATGCCCACAGCTAATCAAACCGACTCCGGCCGCTCCCCCAGCGGGGACCGCATCGGCTTATGTTTTGTACGCATTCTCTGCGATCTTCGTGCTGCTGCTTTTGTGGCTGTTTGCGTTTCGTCCATGCTGCTGTGCCGGCAAGCGGCGCAAACCGGCGGGACCTGCTGCAAACGGGATGATGGTGCTTCCTGTGACCACCCAGAACGGCAAGAAAGGCAGGAAGCCGAAAAAGGGCAAACACGGGAAACACGGTCCGCCCGCTGCCGGCGACGTTCAGGTGAACTTGATCGTCGACCCGAATGCCTTCGGCCGGCCTGATGATCTCGACGATGACTCGGACGACGAGTATGATGATGAGTTGGGGTCCGTTCCGGGTGGATACGATCCAGGCGCGGCTCGGCGAAAGCGGAGGAAGGCCCGACGACGGAGTGTGTTTGCGGGGCTGGCGATGGAAGAGGCGTGGAAGCATGCCCGTTCATGGGCCAAGACGATCACAGCGGTTGATTCTGTAGGATTTCTAGTGTGGGGCGCCGTGTTTGTGTTTGTGATGATTGGCAAGCGGTGCCCGAGCGGTGGATTCCAGGGCTGGTGCGTGTTGTTTCGTTCTCCATTCGCTGTTCATTCGTTCATAATATGTAGGTGCAACGCCTACAATGTGTCAACGGCGGCAGCGTGTTTGCTCTGGTTTTCGTTCGGGATCGCCATATTTTTCGACATTCAGGATCTGTCTGGCAGCAAACAGTCACCTCGGACACGCACATAGACGCTACTAATGAAACTCACGACCTTTCTCCCCATATATTCGTTAGTTATTGAATATCATATTGCATTACAGATAAAACGGGATGCCATAAACAACGGGGGCAGCACCGGTCAGATATTTGAGCTTGCAGACGTCCCGGGATTGGGCTACGGCAGCGACAACCGACACAGGATCGCTACGCTGCGGTCCTCCGAGCGCGAGTTTGTCGAACACCGCCTGCGAGAACAAGTCGATGTCACGGTCAGTCACGTCCCAAAGGTTGGCCACCAGGGAAGGGCTGCAGGATGCAAGATAAATAATGTAACAAGTCTGTGAAAGGGAATGACACGCACCAGCCAGCGACCATATAATTCCAGGGCGTGCCGATGCGCTCATAATCGCCGAGATCGCGCAAAAGACCGCTGGAGCAGCCCCAGAGCATCACCGCTGCGCAACGCGTCAAGTTCCGGATGCGATGTGCCCTGGCGTATTGCTCGCCGCCTCCGTGTCCAAAGTAAACAACGAGGTCGCTCGTACTCAGTGCCCTCAAAAACTCCATCTCGGACGGCGGACGGCCGACGATGGTCTCCCAGCCATTACGTGTCCTTTGCGACTCGGTCCAGGCGGAGAAACGCGCCTCGGTCTTGTGCAGGTCGCCGGAAGGATTGAGGACACAGACGCCCTTGCGCGGGTTGACGACTGCTCGGTCGACAACAGCGGCTGAGCCGGCGCCGTGTTTTTGCCAGCTCGCCAGCTTGATTCTATCTAGCAGAAAATCGAGATTGGGGATCCGGCTGACACTCCGCCCTCGCAGAATTGGTGTGCTTTCCCACGGTAAGCCCTGCAAATTCTTGTCGAGCACGAGAAACACGTGCTCGTCGTTGGTGGGAGGAACAGCGGCAGCGCCCCGCTGCCTGCGATGGTGCTCCTCTAGCACACTCCGAAGATCAACAACGACCTGATCAATGTCGACTTCTGCAACAGCAACTGGCATGCCATGCAACTGGTACAGATCCAGCACAAAGTAGACAAGATCCTCGAGCTCTTCGTCCCGGCACTTGGGCGACAGCGTTGCAAAACACGCGAGCAGATCGTCGTCCAGCTTTTGCGGTCCCACTTTGCTGTCCTGCAACCGCAGCGCACGCTGGAACACACGGTCAAATTGGACCCGCAGCTCAGCAATGGCAGGCGGAAGCAGATTTGAGCGTGGGGATAAGATCGTCTGGAACTCTTAAAAACGGAATACAAGGGAAATGCAAGTCACTTACTTTGAACGCACCCAGCCAACAGAATTCGATGTTCTCCACAAGCTCTTTCATCCGGCCATCAAGCCGACTGCGTTCTCTCCACCACTTTGCCCTGGCTTCGGGATCGTCTTTGTCGACATGCACGGCCCCTCTGGTGCCTTGATCGCTCAGCTTGACGATCTCCGCGAACTCCCGCACGGCATCGTCATATGTGAGATGCTGATCGGCACCGTCTCGACCTTGCAGTGGAATGCAAAACACCAACGGCGGCTGTGTCCCAGAGCCATACTGCCGCGACACAAACAACGTCCGGCGGTCGTCGGTCACCGTCATGTGCACAACTGTCCAGTTCGCCGGCACACCAGCCATCCGCGACGCAGACAGCGTCGAAACGTCTGGTGCCTGGCTCGTGTATCTGAGCTTGATGGATGACCAGTACTCGGACAGCAGTTGCGTGGATGCATCTTCATCGTCGTCGTCCTCCACAGCAGCAACTGTGACTGCTACCTCGTGAGCTGCAACCCACTCCAGATCATCTCTTCTGGCAGCGACTACCTTGTGCTCGATCGCCTCGACCATCTCGCGACCGAGAGCAATCGCACTCGCTCCATCCAGCAGCCCAGCCACCAGCACCGCATCGGCCCCATCAACAGCATTCCCATGCCCGAGCGACGTCTGCAGCGCGCGCACAGCAGCCAGACTCACACTCCCGTCACGCAATCGTGTCACATCACCGGTGCGTGCGAAAAGGGTGAGATCAAGCCAGAAGAGCTGTTCAGCCGATTCCAGAGTGCGCAGGATGTCGTGGGACGGCGGAGGAACACTCATGGGAAGTGCAATAGCTGTGAGTCGACCGATTAGTTCGTCATTCAGTGGCGCAACTGAAGCAACACTCACTCGACTCGGAGAGGAACATATCAGTCCTGAAACGGTCGTACACTTGATGCAATGTCAGCCGGCCTAAGAGTACGTTTTCCTGGGCATTGTTGCGCAAAGAAGCAGGCAGAGCGAGGAAGCGCTGGAGAAGAGCTGAATATGCAGTTGAGTTGTCGCGTAGCAGCCAGATGTGTTTCCGCAGAACATCCGCTACAAGATCGCCATCCACGCTTTGACCAAATTCCGCAGATTGCCGTGACCTGATCGAGTCGGGATAAGATAAGATAAGATAAGATAGAGCAAACAAGCTACTCACCTGTCCACTTCCAAAGCGCGGAACTGGCCGTCGACCTCGTCCAGGATCTGATAGGCCTGCTCATAGAGAGCACCAGCATCACTATCCCTGTCCTGTAGGCGACTGAGATCGCCCGCCAGACCTTTGAGTTCCGCTGCATCTCGGCCGATGCCATCCGGGGTAGCGAGCGCAAGACTGGCTTCAGCTTCAGTGATCTGGCGCATATGCATCTGGATTTCGCCCCTGCGAGTCACTGCACGCGAGGACAGCGTAATCGCGGCCAGACCTTCCGCCAACTCATGCGCCTGACTGGCAAAGTACTCAGCCTCCCGCGCCGAGCCCCTGGCGCTGTACATCTCACACAGCGAGAACAATGTCGCCAGAAGACCCTCAGAGACACGAAACTCGGTAATGCCTGTAATCTTCCGCGGTTTGGTCGCGGTGCTCGGGGTCGAAGCGGAGAAAGGATCATCGTCGGGAGTTGATGTCGGGGAGAGCCGTGCCAGGGTATCAACTGCGCGATTCCACAGCCTCAACGCACGTAGCATCGCCTCAGCATACATCAAGATGTCTTCTCGCGCGCGCTGAATCTGGCCAAACACGCTCGCTGCCACCGCCGCTCGTTCTAGCCGTCCAACTCGCACATAGACCCGCTCAACTGTCGTGGCTGCTGGCTTTTCCGTGCTTTCAGACATTTGTGCGCGCTCCATCGCCTCTGTATAGATTTGCACGCTACCAGTCGGTCAGTTACCATAAGGATGCGTCAACAGGGCGCGCACCTCCTAGCAACATCGTTCGCTAAAACCAGGGCCTCCGCATAACGCAAACACACCAACACACACAGCTCCTCAGGCACCCCTCCAAGCGACCCGTATGCTTGCGCAAACAGCCCCGTCGCCCGTCGCGTTTTGCCGAGTCGCCCGTACTCGATCCCCAGCTCCATGCACGCGATCACGTGTCCCTCCTGAGTCGCGTCCGAGTCCTGTGACAGCCGTCGCGTGATGTCCAACACCCTCACCTTGAGCAACACATGTCGTTGAAGACTCAGCACCCGGGCAACAAGATCTGGTGATTTTTGAGGTTACAAGACAGAGTAGCAGCTTGATGTTCACATACGCAGTAACTCGAGCAACTGTGCAGGTGTTTCCACTTTCGGTGTCTGCACTTTGGATGACTGTGCCTTGGATGACTGCGCTTTTGCTGTCCTACGCAGAGGTTTTGAGGCGACGGTTTTCTTCGGAGCGTTCGTACCCTCCAGAACCCGACACGCAATCTCAACATGAGCCGTCATTGATTCCGCTTGCTTATGGGCATCGAGGGCAGCCCAAAGATGAGCCGAGGCGCGCGTGTGCAAGCGGGTGGGATCATCGGCGCACAAGAGTTCGACCTCGTCCGCGGCGCCATCAACGACGCTGAGCCCTGTGTAATACCCAAACTCTAGACACGCGACCAGGACACCAGCACGGTCCTTGCTGACATCCAGCAGCGCACGCAGCAGAGTCTGCATGACGCGCTGCACGCCTTCTTTCCATCGGCTAGCCGCCAGCGACGCCAGTTGTCGCTCAAGCAGCAGGGGCTGATCTGTCACCAGGACCACCTGGCCAGGATCCAGGAACAATTCGCACGCGCCCAGGTACGTCGTCCGGTCAACGATGGTGCCCAGCTGCACCGTTGCAGGTGAGCACTCGAACCACTTTGGGCATACCGGATACAGGTCGTATGGGAATGCTTTGATGCATTCAACAAAGCTCGCGTGCGCTGACTAGACCAGTTCAGCTGACATTCACGAATTGATTGAGAACAAACGATACCCGGCGGTTCCCCAATTTAGAGAAGCAGACCCCTAACAATTCCCAACGCCTCCAGAGCTGCTCGTCTAGCTGTTTCCACCCATCGGCATTCTTGTCGTCTTTGGTTTGTTCCTGGCGGCGCAGCTCCCGTGCGTTGCCACCCAGCTTACAGCCGTCCTCCAAGAACGGGATCGCCGCTCCATACTTGGTCGCGTTGTACAGCGTCCCTGCTAGGTTGTGGAATGCGCCAGAAACACATCGCGCATAATTTGCTTTCCGTTCCGTTGTCAAGTCCAGCGCTGCCACCGCACGTGTCAGAGTCGCGTGGGCCTTTGGAGGCGATCCAGCGAGAGTCCATCGCGACACGGAGAAGATCGTGTCGAGTAGCGAGGTCAGTGTGTCGTTGGTCGCATTCTGATGATGTCAGTTCGGTTCTTCTCCTCAGAAACAAACACACCTGCTGCACCAAACACTCGAGCACGTCCATCACCTTCTCGACAAATCCAGCGCCACCGTTTCCCTCATCAACCGATGTTATCACGCTCCGTCTTGCTTTCTCCATCGCTCGATACATTTTACCGCGGAGATCAGGGTTTGACAACACAAGCGTGACGCCAGCCCAATCTACAGCATCCATTAGGTCTGTCTCCTTTGCAGCAGCGATCTGTGCAAACAAAGTGCAACTCTGTGTGCACTGCACCGAAAGGTCCACCGTGTCTGTAGATGGCTTCCCCACAACATTTGCGACTTGGCCCAGGGCGGATATATTCCTGGTCTACTCGGTTATAATTAGCGATCGGTATTCCAATCAGACAGAACTCATTCACTCGATTCGCACAGTTCGTCCAGCACTCACAAAATGCAGCAAACGCCTTCCCACTCATGAAAGCCTCCGCGTCTGGCCTCTGCTGTGCTCGGCCCACCAAATCATCGAACGCTTCGAGCACCGTAGTCGTCACTGCATCCACCTCGGTCGCCGCCGTAGCTTTGATGAGCGCCCCAGCCGCCTTGGTTGCTTGGTCCCAGAACGCCCGGGGCTCGACCTTCCCCGACTCCGTGTGCGCCAGACACCCCAGCCCTACCTCCGTAGTGCAAACGCCTGAATCGGTGTGATCCCTGGCGTGGCCGCCAGCCGCACGACGCAGCTATACGCGCGTGTTAGTGTCGCGTCGATGTGTGTGGTGGGATCAGGCGCGCCCACGTGAGCAGCGTGATCGAAGACGACAACGTGAGACAGCCCACGAACGAGGTCAAGGGAACCTTTGAAGGTGTCTGGGACGAGAGGACAGTCAGTGTGTGAAGTAGAAATGTAGTTGTGAGGGTGAGCAGGGTTGGCGTAGGAGTAGTGGCTTCGTCGGGTAATGATATACTGAGTAGATCGAGCTGCGTGGAATTAGTTGACAATGGAGCTAAGCCAAGTAGCCGACACAGTCTTGGATGCATCGCGCGCAATGCGAGAAGGGCGGCGTCGTACTGCATGTCATTGAGTAAATAATGAGTTGGCAATAACAGAACACACCATCTCCAAAGCAACAAGTTTCCCTGAGAGGCTTCCCGCTGCGCGCTCGACGTCCAACATCGCATCAGCGTCAGAAAGTTCGCGCAGGGTTGCAAGATGTCGTGCCACATCCGC